GGCAGCTGTTTACTAGCTGGACAAGCCTCAGTTTCCCCCTCTGTTAAATGGACAATTCCATGCTCACCTCCTCAGTCTATTATGAGAATTAAATGAAAATAAGGGCAAGTCTCACAGGTCTTTGTAGACTGTAAAGCGCTGCACGGACGCCAGCATCTATCTGTGTCCGTGAGACCTACTTGTTCTAACGAAACAGAGGAGCGAGAATTCCAGGTACTGCCAGGTCAGCTCTTGGTGAAACACAAGACATGGGTTCAAATTCTCCCTCTGCCACTTCCTGGCCATGTGGGCTCGGGAAGTCACCTGCCCTCTCTGAGCCTTCACTGCCTCGTGTGCGGACAGTATGAAGACTTGTCTGCAGGTTTGTCGAGGGCGCTTGAGACAGGCAGGTAATGTGTTTAGAGCCCTCCCAGGCTCCACGTTCTGAGCCATTATTAAGCTGAGACTGGGGGTGGCGCCGGCTTCTGCCTGGGTGTTAAGTAGCTCTCGAGAGCTAATCCCGGAGAGCATGGGCCGGGTGTTGGCAGGCGGCCAGGGTTTTTAATTAGCTCCTGCCCTGAGACGAGGCCGTTGTTGCTCCACTGCTGGCTGCGTGGTGCCTGTGATGGGGGGAAGTCCGGACCGCCTCCCGCTGTCTCCGACGGGGACCACTCCCGCCTCCTGACGTCGCCCTAGCCCCTCGCCTTCTCAGCAGGCCAGCCCCAGGCTCCACGGCTACCATCAGCGTTTCACGCAGCAGCCAGTGCGAGCGTCCTAAAACCCAGCTCTGATCCAGGCGCCTCCCACCAAAACCCTCAGATGCCCCCTGCCCTGCACACCCTTCCCGTGGCCCTGCACGGCCCTCCTGACCCAGCCTGGGCAGGCTCACCTATCTCTGGCCATGCTGTCCTTTAAGCTCCTTGAGACCTCCGGGCCTTGGCACATGCTGTTTCCTCTGCCTAGAACTCTCTCCTCTCCCTCTTGCTAAGGGAACTGCTCAGATTTCACCTCAAACTGCGCTGAGGCTTTGACAGATGCTCTGTGCCTGCCGGTCAGCACAGCTTTTGGAAAAAGGGCTAGTTCATCGTTTGTTTCTCCACTGGACCCTAAACTCCAGGAGGACAGGGACAGTGTCCACCTCCTCACGCTGCCCAACTAACAGCTGCATAACAAGTGTGTATTGCTTGACTGAGGGCCACCCGAGTGCCAAGCACCTACCCCCTCGTCCCCTCCTTAAATCCTTGCAACAATCTGACAAAAGAGGGTGATTGCTGATAAAATTGAAGCCCAGAGAGGGGAAGTGGCCTGCTTGAAGTCAGAGCCAGTGAAGGACAGAGCGGGACCGGTCAGTGGGTCTGGCTGGCACCCGCTTGGGGCCCACCCACAGCCAGCGGCTCTGTCGCTGGCACCGGGCCCTGCAGCTCCTGCCTCCCCTGAGCCAGGACAATGCCTCATGTGGGTCTCTTTCATTTCCTGTTCCTCCGGGCACACGAGTGGTTTGATGTAGGTCTTGGAGGCATCTGCCACATCCCCCTGGAGAGGGTGGGTAGAAGGTGTGGGGTGATTAATTTCTGTGTGGCCTCATGATAATCTGCCATCCTTTCCCCTGGGTGGGATCTGTGAGGGGAGGGAAATGGGCAAGCCACTCGTCCCCACCCTAACAGCCCTGACTTCTTTCTCCGGACAGAAACAGATGCAGACTCCGGGAAAGCACAGCCCTGAGAAGCGCCCAGATCCAAAGTCTGCCAGCAGCCCCAAGCAGCCTCCAGCAGAATCTGTCTACACAGTGAGTCCCAGGGCCTAGGCTCCCTCCCTCTCTCTCAAGCCTGATGCAGGGTCTGATGCCCCCGGCTCAGCCATGTACCAGCTGTCTCTGACCCTCGAGTCCCTCATCTGTTAAATGGGGACAATCATTCTGCCTTGTGGAACTCCTATGAAGGTGGAAAGAGATCACAGGCGTGGAGCCCTTGCTAGGCATACGGATGTGTGGTGCTGCCCTGATCCCCTCCTTGGCACGCCTTTCACTTCTGGAAGAAGGGGCTGTGAGGAAAGAAGCAAGTTCCTTCCTCTGACCAAGTGACAGTGACCAGCTCACCAATTTCTTCCTGTTTTTATTGCACAAACAACTTCACAGCAATGACAATGAAAATAGCAAAAGGAGGAAAAGGTCAGGCACCATTCCACACCCTCAAAACATCAGTGATTTTCAATTATTCACTCTCTCCCTTCCCCACCACGTACAGACTGTTCTAGATCATTACAATCACAGCAGGACACAGGTTGGAATCCTGTTTCTTCCACACCCTGTTGTATCGTACGCATTTTCTGCAACAGTCTCCTTAATTATGTGGAGAAGCAAGTTCCTTCCTCTGACCAAGTGACAGTGACCAGCTCACCAATTTCTTCCTGTTTTTATTGCACAAACAACTTCACAGCAATGACAATGAAAATAGCAAAAGGAAGAAAAGGTCAGGCACCATTCCACACCCTTAAAACATCAATGATTTTCAATTATTCACTCTCTCCCTTCCCCACCACGTACAGACTGTTCTAGATCATTACAATCACAGCAGGACACGGGTTGGAATCCTGTTTCTTCCACACCCTGTTGTATCGTACGCATTTTCTGCAACAGTCTTCTTAATTATGTGGGGCACTGGCTGCAGTCCACAGGGGCCTGAGGAGGCTCTGCTCACCCCAGCCCACCAGCTGCAGCCACAGCCACTCTGCCCAGTGGGCCACGGAGGGCAAGGGACATTCTTTTTCAGTTATGTGTCTTAGTTTTACAAGGAACACATGCTCATGGTAGAGAAAGTAAAGAATAGCGGCCACCCAGTGTCAGCTGGGGTCTCAATGCTGTGAGATCTGGAGCCACCAGGGTGGGCTTCCCACTCCACCCCTGGGAGGCGCAAAGCCCCGCTGGGGTCCTGCACGCCCCACAGGGCACGTCCTCTGGCTGCCTCTGGCACTAGGACTCTGCCTGTACCTGCTGCCGCTGTTCCATACCCACCACCCTGACTCACATCTGAAACTCAGGTTCTTCCTCTAATGCCACAAAACCCCACACAGAGGACATTCAGAATATGGCCATGTCTGCTGAGAATGGGGGTGGGTAGAGCAAAGCCAAGGCTATGTCCCTACGGGGCAGTGCCGACAGCTCCAAGTGGAACATGACTGTTCTCAAAGGGCCTCAGACTCTCCACCCCAGGGAACTTGCACCAGCCACTGCCTTGCACGTGGCTCCAGACTCGCCCCCATATTTTCTCTCTCTCCCAACAACTCATCATGGTATCTTCCCTATGAGGAATTTTGGTGTCAGCTGTTAGATGAAAATCTATGGGAAAATAACCAGCATCCTAATCTTGTCTTCTTCCAGGATAAATGCTAGTAACATTGATTTCTATACCTTCCAGTCTTTTTTCTATAAATATATGCAAAGAGACCCAGACACACATTTGCACATACTTCTTTTTTAATTGGAGTAGGACAGCTATTTTTTTTTCATGTTACAATATCTCATGAACATCTTTCCACATGAATGCATATGCATCCAGGAGATTATTGATTTGAATGGAGCAACTTTCTCGCCGGTGTTTAGAATCCTCTGAGGGTCAGGCCGACTGTTCCGGAGTGTGGAGAAGAGGCCCAGCTGCCTGAGGGTTGCAAGGTGGCTTGGGGGGGAGGTTTTAGGACCAGAAAGGAGATGCGACGGGAGGCCACCGGACTTTGCAATGAACGTAGTCATGTCATGTGTAAATAAGGAGAGCTCACCTCCTCCTTTGCGATCCTCAAACCTTCCGTCTCTTTTTTCCTTGCTTTCCTGCACCGCCTGCGACCTCGGTGTGACGGTGAGAGGGAGCCGCGACACTGGGCATCCTTGTCTCGTTCCCAACTTCCGGGGGAGGTTTTCATGTGTTCCTCCTTCTCTTTTCTTTGGATGGATACTTAAATCCTTTTCTATCTTTTTTCTTTTCTAATTTATGCATTTAAGGCTATGAACTTCGCTTTACATGTGGCTTTAGCTTTGATATGTCATATTTTCATGATCTCTCAGTCTAAATTCATGTGGAAAACTGCTCATGATATATTATGTCATGAAGAGAAAAAAAAAAAGCTGTGCTACTCCAATTTGTTTGTAAAAACTTGACCTGTTAAGAGTTTGGATTTTTGAGCAGGTCAGAGAGTCTGGGGATTAAAGCCTTGTCTTTTTGCTCACTGGTTCTGCTACTTCCGCTTTCTCAGTCCCATAATTTATGAAATAGGGTTAACGGTACAATATCACATTTGCAGCTTGCAAACATGCTATGATTTCTTCCTTCTTCAATACCTTATCTTGAGCCTACACCGCTCCAGCTACCTGCCCTTTCTCCACGACGGCTTATAACAAAACTTCTCCAAAGTTGTCACAACTCTTTCGGCCCCGGTTTCCCTCTCCTGCCAACCTTCCTGGTTAGGCTCGCTGCCCACCTCTGCACCAGAACGTTCCTTCTCAGGGTCACTGTTGACTCCACACTGTCAAGTCCAGTGGTCAGTTCTCTTCTTCCACGAATCAGCAGCATCTGACAATGTCGAGCTCTCCCTCCTCTTTGACACACTTTCTTCACTTGCTTCCGGAATATTCCACACTCTCCTGATCCTCCCCGGACTCATTGCCACGTCTCCTTCAGTTGCCTTCGCTGGCTCCTCCTCGGGAACCAGTGAAACCCTGACCTCTCGATGTTGGAGTGAGCACTGGGGCCCAGGCCTGGGACCTCTTCTCTTTTACCTTCACCCTCTCCGGGTGATCTCACTCGGCCTCGAGGTTCTGAAGGCCACCCACGTGCTGACAACTCCCAGAGTCAGATCTGCAGCCCAGACCTCTCCTTGGAACGCCAGACTCGGCTCCACTTGTATGTCTGATCGGCAGCTCTCTCCAACCCACGCCGATTCTCCACCCACCTAAGTGCCTCTTCACACAGTCACCCTCATCACAGTAAAAGATTGCTCCTTCCTTCTACTTGCTCAAAATTTTGAAGTTGTCCTGTCCTTCTCTCTTACAATCACTGACCATATCTGATTCATCAGCAAATCCTGCTTCAAAAGGTATCGAGAACCCAGCCGTTCCCACTGCTCCCGTGCGAACACTGGCGGGAGCCCCTGTCTCCCCCCACTCTGCCCCCTCTCTGCCCGGAGCCCTGCGCTTGGTCTCTAATCAGCTGGTCTATTTGCATCTTTGCCCCCATGGTCTGTTTCCCACCTGGCAGCAGCCAGCGTGATCCTGTTAAACCACTGACAGATCATGCCCCTCTGCTCAGAGCCCTTGCTGAGTCCGGGCCCTCTGAGAAGGGGACACCAAGGCAGGATTAGATGATCAGGAACTGTATAGAGAAATCCCCTGTGAGAGGAGAGGGGAGGGAGGTGGGAAGGAGAGCGGTCAGACCGCCGTGCAGGTCTGATCCTGAGCAAAGGGATGAGGGAAGGAAAGCCGAGTGGAAGCCCCTGAGACTGTGACACTCCAAGGAATGTTCAGCAAGGCCATCGGGAATGCCCAGGTCAGAGGCATGTGGCCTCCGTTCAAATATGGTGATGGATTCAGAGCCCAGCAGCTGGGGCCCTTAGTCATTTTCAATCCCTGGAGGTAGAGGTCTGGGAAGTGATTCTCATGGCCACCATGGCCCTTCAGAGGGTCCCGTCTCACTCAGAGACAAAGTCAGAGCCGTACTGGGCCTCTTAGCTCCCTCTGGCCAAGTGTCCTCCCACCCCAGCCCCCAGCACACAGTAGGTGCTCAGTAATCAACTGCTATCGGATGTTCTTCCAGGGTATCTGGGGTTCTGTGGGGGCCCAGTGCAGGGCCTGGAGGGGACACCATGGCAAACGTGGAGCATCAGCAGCGTGAGCCACTTTCTCCCTGCGCAGCACTCAGCCACCTCCCCACATCTCTGCTCCCAGCCTCCGCCTGCCCCGAGTTCCATTCCTGTTCTCAGCCTCCAGTTCCCCCGCAGCTGGAGGGACCTGTCTAATGCACACTCTGATGCGATGTTAGGAAGAACTTCAGAAGCTCCCCACTGCCAGCTCCTCGGCCTGGTGCCCAGGCCCTGGTTGGTGGCCTGTCCCAGCCCACCTCCCACTCCTGTCACGGCAGTGGGTTGTCCACTTCAGACATGCCGTACCCTTGACCTAGAGCTGAGGTCTACTTCTATACTGAATCCTCCTTTTTGAACGATGCCCCCAGATCTCACCCACCACCCGCAATGCCCAGGACCATTAGATTAGGTCCAGGCCCAAGGCAGTGGACTTCAGCTCCAGCCTAAGCCTGCCTGGAGGAAGGCTTTGGCTCTGACTTCACACTTCTGCCAGGCTGATGACCATTCAGGTCAGCACTGTTGCCCACTGGGCAAGCAGGAGGCAGAGGGCCTGGAGGGCCTGGGACTCAGACTAACAGCCCCAGTGGAGCATAGCCCAGCCCCAGCCTCAGTTCAGCCCCAGCCCAGCCCAGCCCAGGCCAGTCCCAACCCAGAACAGCATAGCCCCAGTATATCACAGTCCAGCAGAGCACAGCCCAGACCCACAGGTAGCCCATCCAGAGGCCTGCACAGTCTTCTCCCAGCAGGCACACCGAAGGGAGGCAGTCCCCATCACGACCAGGAAAGGCTAGGAGGGGCTGGCTCAGAGGCTCCCGTTGACAAGGCTGCACCCTGCATTTCACAGCTTGGTGATGCAGGTCCTACCCGGAATACAAATCAGCTCAGCAGGTCAGGACTTGTCAAAGGCTTCACTCAGCAGGAGCTAATTGGTGGCAACTTCCACAGCCTCCCTGCCCTCAGCCCCACAGCAGTTCCTGCCCTGCACACAGCAAAATCATTCCCTTGTCCGCTGTGTGGGATGAGTCCTGCAGGGTCCCAGGGGAGGGTGCTCTTCTCTGGCCCAGATATCCCCGGGCCTCTCTGGGCTCCTGTGTGCTGGGCAGCCCCACTGAACTGGACATGAGGGAGCGGGAACTACCTAAGGGACCCCAGACCTGCTCCCTGCCGAGATGCTGGTAAAGAGGCTATTTCCCTCCCTTCTCTCTGTGACCAGAAACGTCCAACTCAGAGGTGCTGTCAAATCCATCTGATCTCAGAGGGATCCAGGACTGGGTGGACAGAGGGTGGGAGGCACAGGCTGCTGGGGAGCGTGCCCCATCCCGTGTGCCAGCCTTGCCAGGGCAGCTGGTGCTCTGGGCAAGTGTGAAGACTGCACAGGCCAGAACAGGCCTTGGAAGTTTCCTTCCACTGGAAATAGGGCTTCTCCATGGGGCAGCCCTGCCCTCTTCCCTACCCAGAGGTGGGCCAGAAGCCCCTCTCCCAAGACCTACCCTCTTTCTTGCTTGGAGACCTCTTGAACTGGTCCCCAGGCCACCCCACCATCCCAGTGTCTGATGCCCTTGAAGTGAGGGTCTCCCAAGCGCCACATGGTTTATTACATGGGCTTTCATGCCCGGCTGCCTCTCGGTGCCTCCCTCTCTCCTCCCCTCCCATCTCCCCCCCTCCTCCTGCCTCTGAGCACCACCTGTCTCTCCAGCCTGCCTCAGAAACCCCTGCTTGCCTGTTGCCAGGGAAACCGCCTCCTTGGCAACCAGCCGGCATCCATGTGACTCGTACACTCGGGAAGGAACGGCTTCTGCCTCTTGCTTAGACTGTTGGTGGGCTCTGCTCTGTAGCCCAACAGGGTCTGAGGGAGGGTCCAGGCTGTGATCCCAGAGGGAGCTGTGGAGGCATCACGCTACCCTTGATGATCATTCAACAGCTACTTATTAACTACCTACTGTTTATCTGACTCTGTGCAGGGCCCTTTATGTACAATATTTCATTTAATCACACATTGAGCCTGCAAGGTAGATATGATCATTCCCATTTTGCAGATGGGGAAACTGAGGCACAGAGAGGTTATGGGGTTGCCTGTGGCTGGCAGGTGTCAGAGCCAATAGTTGAACCTAGTCCTGTCTGTCTTCAAAGCCCCGGTTCTTTCTCCCATCTTGAGGTTTCTGGCCTGGCTTCTCGTGGCTGGGCCAAAAGTGAGTGTGGCCCTAGGACACACCCAAGTGGGCACGGAGCCCCCCACCATAGCTCATCTAGTGCCACTCTCTTTGTGCCAGGCACAACTGTGAGATGAGACACCTAGGTATAGTGTGACCTCAGTAGGTGCCTAGGTCATCCGTGAGCACAGGCTGGGTGGGTGGTGGGTCAGGGGAGACCTAGAGGGTATGGAGGGGGTGGAACCTTCATGGGGGCAGGGACTTTGAGCCAGGGGAGTGAGGGCAATGCCAGAAGGGCATGCTATTGGAGCGGTGGCCAGCAGTGTCATGCAGGGGGCTGCTGGCTGCCAGGCCCTTGAAGGCCCAGGGACAGGTAGGGTCAGTGGGATGGGCCTGGGCCCTTCCTCTTGTCGGCCACGTGGAAGCCTGAATAGAGCCCACCAGGACAGCACAAGGCTCTGCTGAAGGTCCTTGAGGGAGGTGGCGGGGAGCAGAGAGGAGTCAGCACTGTACAAGCAGGGAAGGAGATGAGGTGACTGAAAAGGGGTGGCAGGTGTGAAGGTGTGGCAGTGCGACCGTGCGTGGCGTTGCTTCACCTTCCCCTAGGCTCCCGCAGTGTGTGGTAACAGGCAGGGAGACTGGCTGCTAGCACCCGGGGACAGCCCCTCTGTGCACCTGCCTCTGACCCTGTGCCCTGTCTCCTGCAGGCCCTGCAGCGCCGGGAGACCGAGGTCTACGCCTGCATCGAGAGCGAGGACACCAGCCCACCCTCCACCCGGAGCCCTTTCTCCCAGGTACACAGTGGCTAGGCAGGAAGCCCCGAGCTTGGGGACACCAAACCTGGCTTCTCGTTCCATCTGACCCTCTCATCATCTGTGAAATGGGGCACAGAAGTGAGCCGCCTGCTGCTGAATCCCAGCCCTGTCCCCGAGGCAGCTGGCCTCGTGGTTAAGAGGACTGGTGGGTTTAAATTCCCGCTGCAGCCCTTAGCAGCTGTGCAGCCCTGGCCAAAGTACCGACCTTCTCCGTGCCTGAGTCTCCTTGTCTGGAAAATGAGGAGCCTAAATGTACCCACCTCATAGACTTGCCACAAGGATAGAATGTTGCACTGAGAGGGCTGCCCGGGGCCTGGTAGGCACCACTCAGTGTGAGCAGGTGTAACTACCACTGGGCACAGCGTCCACACTGGCCATCAGGCAGGATGAGTTAGGTTTCTAGCTGCCCCCAGGCTGGCATTGGCTAAGGTCAGGAGCTGGAGTATGAGCTGGTGCCAGCTTGGGCTAGACTGGTCAGGGCTCTGTTATTATCATGATAGGGCCTCAGGCATATTACTTAATCACAGTTTACTTTCTCTCTTAAACCTCAGTTTGCTCATCTGCAAAGTGGATGAGCAACACTTTCCTGCAATACCAACAGCCCCTGAACTCAAATGAGTTCGAAGTTGAACGACATCTGCCCCAGAGCTTTGAACACTATAAAGTGCAAGGTGTCGCTAAGCCAGTGCCCACGGGCACCTTGGAGGAGCCTCAGGGAGTGTGGTGGGCTGGTGCTTGGCCTTTCCTGGCCCAGGCTGGCACTATTTGTTGAACTCCTACTGTCAAGTGCTTTCCATACTCAGCCCTGAACTAGGCCCTGACTGGAAGCCGGGCTTTCTCACCCTGGGACCCCCCCCCAAGGATGTCTGGGCTATCTCAGGCAGTGCATGTCCTGTGCCAGGCCCTGGGTGTTGGGCAGGAGAGCTAGGCTTGTCCCTGTCCTCTGGAGTCTGCAGGAACAGGGTGCTGATCCCATGGACACACAGAGATATTTGTAGCCCTATTGGCAGGCTCTGGGGAGGGACCAGACCAGGGCTGGTGGTGAGGGCGGGCTCCCTGGGCCACTGAGATGAGCCTCCAGGATGAGTAGGAAACAGTCGGGCAATTTAAGACAGGGGAGGATGGGGGAGCACCCCAGACAGGGGAGAGCTGTGGGGAAGCCCCACTGCAGGAAAGGGGAGGCCCGTGTGGCTGGAGGGCAGAAAGCAGGAGTGGGGGTGGTGTGATGGGAGAAGAGCCCGGTCGGGTGGGCTTGAGGACACAGGACAGGCCTCCCCGTCACAGCTACACAGAAAGCCATCTGTTTGCCTCTGATTAAAACCGAACTGCAGGGCTGGCCCGGTGGTGCACTGCTACAGTGCGCTGCTTGGGAGTGCGGCGGCGCTCCCGCCGAGGGTTCAGATCCCACATACAGACCGGTTCCCGCTCACTGGCTGAGCGAGGTGCGGGCGCAACACCGAGGGTTGCGATCCCGTTGCCGGTCCCGGTCCAGTACGGGTGCGACACTGAGGGTTGCGATCCGTTGCTGGTCACGAAAAAAGACAAAAAGGAAAAAAATAAATAAATAAATAAAAATAAATAAAACCGAACTGCAAGTTCATTCTTTTCCTACCTAATGTTTTTCTTTCTTTCCTTTTTATGCAGGAGAATCCGCATCGATTTGAGGATGACAGTGAATTTAACCTGGTCTATGAAAATCTCTAGGACGAGCTCCACTGCCCGTAGGTCTTGCCCTGGGTCAGAGGCTGGGGCAGCCCCTGCCTCCAAAGGACTTGACCAGAACCAGGACTGAAGCCCCTGGCATACCCATCACCTCACCCCACCTTCAAGGCCCTCCCGCCTTGGCCTGCGCCACTGCCCCCACCCTGCCCCCCAGCCACCCAGTGTTTCACACCTGTGGGTCCTTGCCCAGGCTGTCCCCTCTGCCAGGTGGGCCCTTCCTCCCCTGGCCCAGCCCACAAAGAGCTACTTAGTGTCCCAGGGCTTGCTTGGATGCCACCCATTCCCGGAACCCTCCTCTCCCCGTCACGGCAGCCTGCACCTGGCCTGCGAGGCACTGTGTGAGCTGCTGGGGACCTGGCAAGGGACTGAGGAGTGGACAAGTAGCAGAATGGCTGTGCAGACACTCCCACCCGCCCATCTAGGCCCAAGGCCCCAGACAGCTGTGCCGGGTGGGGACAGGGGCTGGCGCGGCAGGGGTGGGGCAGGGGCCAGAATGATGAGCCACAAAGAAGCTGCACTGTGCTCAGGGACAGATGTGGAGGTGGCTCAGTGGTGGTCATCGAGCTGGGCCCCTGGAGCCGGGAGGGTCCCAGTACATGCTGGTCGGGAAGGAGATCCTGGCATGTTTGGGATGGAGCAGAGGGATGAGGTAGAGGTGCTGGCTGGAGGGAGCTGAATGAATGGCCCAAAGCCCTCCCCTCCCCCAGCCCAGGTCGTCTCAGATGGGCTACTCTACAGTGACATCTGCTTTGTCACCCTCTGCTCTTCGGGGCCTCAGCTGCTCCATCTTCCACACGAGGTCCAGGCCCCCGAAGTCCCCTCTGTCTGGCTGATCCTGACCCTACCACCTGTGGCTTCATCCAGTTCTCTTCTGTCTCTATCTGCCTTATGCCCCATCCCTGGCCTCCTGTGGATTGAGGCCAGACCAGCTTCTTCCCTCCAGGCCTAATGTCATCCCAGCTGCCTCGAGGCCACCTCTCTCCCCTTGTGGCCTAGCTGGGCAGAGGGGTCCCTCTGTGTTGCGGAGCTCAGGCCACAGGAGGACAGTGGCTCCTTGGTGCCCAGCCCTGAGCCATTTCTGCAGCTCCAAGTGCTCACATTACCCTCCCGGCAGCTCTGCAATGTGACGGGAAACCCCTTCCCCAGGCAGACAGGGGCTCAGGGTCGGGTCAGCCAGGCTGTTGGGTTCTGTTCCCTCCCTCGGCTTTCCTACTGATCATCTGTGAAATGGGCAGGTCAATCCTCCCTCGCCACTTCCTGGGCTGCCCCACAGGTCCCTGGGGTGCCCTCATACCCAAACTCAAGTGTGCCCATGGATGGTGGGGGACCTGATGCATGGACCCTGATCTTGGCCCCTCAGCACCCTGGGCCACCAGCTCCTGGGCAGCGGCTTTGGCTCTGTAGGTCAGGTCCCTCCTTGTGGGGATAGAAAGGCTGGGGATGGGGGGTGGGCAGAGACTCACCTCCAGAAGAAGTCTCCTGAGCCCTCTGCTCGGGTGGCACCAGGCCTCCCTGGCCCACAGGACGGCCAGCGGCCCCCCGGCTTGGTTCTGGGCCGTGGCCTGCGAGCGCACAGCAAGGAGGGCTCCCAGTGGGACGAGGAGGCTGAGCGGGGAGGCGCTGCTCTCCAGGAGGCTGGATTTTAGTGAGCCTTGTGCCTGTTTAGGGAGGAGAAGCTGCCTGGGCAGAGCTGCCTTCCAGGCTCCTGACTCCACCAGACTGAGGCAGGGGCCAGGGCGGGAGTGAGGGGGACATGCCACTCAGGGTGCTGCGAGCCTCCCCTGGGAAAACCCACGTCAGCAAGACCAGCAGGAGGCCACCTCACCAGGCCTGCCTCCCCTCCTCCTGGACCTCTCTGTCCTTGGCCCCTGACCCCAGCCCCTCTGGCTGGTACCTCAGCCATAGTGAGGGTCGTGAGCAGCCTGGCCCAGGCCCCACAGTCTTCTCCACAAAGCAACTGAGCAATCCTGATAAAACCTACATCGGGTCTTGTCCCTCCATGACTCAAAACCTTCTACGGTTCCCACCTCACTTGGAATAAAATCCCAACTCCTCCCTGTGGCCTGTGAGGCCCCCAGGGACTGACCTATCCCCGCTCTGGTGGACACAGATATTGCCAGAGCAGTGGTTGAGCCTGGTTGGGGCAAGGCTGGGCGGCCCTCATGTGTGGAGGTCCTCAGTGAATGACAGAGACGCAGGAAGGACGGGGTGGGTGAGTGGAAAGGCGGGACTCTAAGGGGGCTCTGACACAAGGGAGGGTGGGGGAAGAATGTTCTGGAACTCCCAGTGGGCGGCAAATAAGACTGAGCCCCTGTTCCCCAGCACTGCAAAGAAGAGCTGGTGCAGGGGCGAGGGGAGGCAGATAAGTCCAAGGTACGGGGTGCAGGTGGCACTGAGGGAGGAGGAGGGGACAGAGAAGGGAAGAGCTCCGTGCATGTGAGCTCCCGAGGGTGGCCTTGCTCCAACTCTGAAGGGGTGAGGAGAGAGGAGAGGAACCACCCTTGAGAGCCCTGGGGCTGGTTGGTCTCCGGGCCTCTCCTGAATCCCAGCTCCACCTCCCAGCGGCCACCTGAGCCTCGGTTTCTGGTGACAACAAGGAACGCTCAGTGTCCCTCAGAGAGGACAGATGGGGGACTCCAGGGCTCATGCAGAGGCTCAGTGGGTGTGTATTTCCTTCAAGATTCATCCTTAGGGAGAAGCAGGCTGCCGGGGCAGTGCGGAGGGTGTCTGCTCAATGAGGGGGCAGGCCTCCCTGGGAGGTGCAGACCCAGGCTCTGAAGCCACCCCCATGAGCAGTGCCAGGACCCACATGCTCAGGGGACAGGTTGGGGCTGTGGACAGAGCTGGGGGTGGGGGCAGGGCAAGCAGAGAGGTGAAGAGAGAGGGGCAGAGAGGGGGAGAAGCTAAGAGCGACGGGAGGACATTTGAGGGAGGAACCTGGGTGGCACATGGGAGACCCAGGTGAAGGGAGCCTGGACCTTCAAGGAAGGGTGGTCCTGAGGGTGGACCAGGGCTCAGGGCAGGTAGGAAAAGCCCCAGGCAACCCCTGTAGGGCCCTGCCCTGGGCCCCACTGCAGAAGGCAGCCATGTGTCATGGGGCCAGGGTCACAGTAGCTACTCCCTCTGCCTGGCTTGCCCCTGCCCTGAGGGGACTGCCACCCTCTTTCCTGGCCCAGCAGGTCCTGTCCTCCTTGGTCTTGCCAGTGCCACCCCCTTCAGAGTCTCAGGGCATCTGAAACGTTTCAGCTACTTCATGGATGGATGGAAGCTGAAGGCCCCCGTCCTGCCCCTTCCAGCGGGTTTGTGCCTCCAACCCTCCCTCCAGCTGCTGCTCCTCCCAGCACTTGCTTGAGAAAACCATCCTGGACAACCAAGCCCAGCAACTTGAGGTGGGGGCGGGAAGCTGTAGCCCCTCCTCAGCAAAAATTTCCAGAGGATTCTGCACAGTGGAGTTTCCATGGGAACATGTGCCAGTTATACACAGAACCTCGGGGTTCCCTTCACAGCCGACATCACTGGACCTCTGCAGGGTAGCCTCGGCTGGGGGTGGCCACTGCCCTTTGGTCACCAGCCTTCACTAACCTGAAATCAAGTTACAGGCAAAGCCTGCCTTTTTTTTTTTTTTTTTTTAACATTCTAATTTAAAGGCTATGCTCCATTCTAAGGATGCCTCTGGGATTTCAGGGATGGATTTTTATGTAGTTCAATAGTTTTCTTGGCAGACAGACCATCCAGGAGGGGCGGGCCATTGCCTCAGCCCAGCCAGGCTGAGTAGCATCTCTCTGTCCCTCCCAAATGCCAGAAGATGTCATTTGCCCACCTGAAGGGCTTCCCCAGCCCTGATCCAGACTTCAGGAGTTGGGGACATCGTCATAAGACTCTGACCAGTGGTCATAATTATGGCCTCTGAGCCTTGGCTGAGCGTGGGTCAGGTCCTACTCTCTGCTTGTGGTGTTAGCACGTGTTTTCTATGTGTGTATCTAAGCAGGTGACACAGGCATATATCGTGGTAAAACGTTTAAACAGCAGCAAAGTGAAATTCCCTCTGATGCACCTGCCACCTCCCAGCCTCTTTCCCAGTCCTCTCCCCGGAGGTAACCAACTGGGTCATCGGGGTGTGTTTTCTTCCTCCCTGTTTTTATTGCATCTATGTATATATGTGTGCACATGTAAAATAGACGGTGTTTGTGCGGGGCTCTGCGGCTGCGGCGGAGTCGTTCCGTGGGCGTTGTTTGCGCCTGCTTTGTTCCTGCAGTCTCACGTGCTGGGGATCTGCCGAGACGGCGCAGAGGAGCAAAGGCGTCTGCCGGCCGGACGGCTCCTCCCTGGGTCAGGCCCCTCGCAAGGGCCCGTCAGTGCCGGTTTTTCAGCCTCACGCAAGGTGCTGCGGGGACTATCCCTGTACGTACCTCCTTGGACACATCTGCAAAACTTTCTCCACGGGAAACGACGAGAAAGGATTCCAGGGGCCCAGGGTGTGGAAATGGACTGTTGTAACAGACACTGCCACGTTGTCAGGCGTGGAGGTTGTACTGGTGTCTATTCCTGGGACTCGTTATGTAGAATATCTCATTTCATCTGGAAAACGGCCCTACAAAGCAGGAGGGGGTGGGGCTGGTCTCCCCACTTTACCAAAGCAGAAATTATGGGTCAGAGAAGTTGACTGGCCAAAGTCACACAGCCCAGACAGGGCAACACCGGGCTGGCTCCGAAGGCACGTGGTCGCATTGCCTCCGCAGGTCCTGACTGCGGGACAGAGGGAGGCACCGAGAGGCGGCCGGGCATGGAAGCCCATGTAATAAACCATGTGGCGCTTGGGAGACCCTCACTTCAAGGGCATCAGACACTGGGATGGTGGGGTGGCCCTGGGGACCAGTTCAAGAGGGGGAATGTGGGGGCAGAAAGAGCCACTGAGGGACGTGCTGCCCCCAGGGCTGGGGAAGCCCACAGAGGGACAAATTTCCTTCAGCAATGCCCTGTCGTGTTCAC